ACTGATACCAGGTCAGGTCACAGAGGTCAGGTCACTGAGGGTCACAACATGAAAATATCATGTGACAGGTCACAGAGGTCAGGTCACTGAGGGTCACAACATGAAAATATCATGTGATGCATGTTTTATGGTCCATTTTATATGCCAAATACGATTATGTGGGACAAGCAGCCTTTGGGGTCAGTTTAGATTAAGTTCCGGTGAAGATCAGGTCAAGGTCCGGTCAAGGTCAGGTCAAATTAGGTCAAATTTCAAAGTTGATATTTTTGCATAACATGAGTATCGATTCGATGCAGCTCGTCACGGGAAGTTCAATGGTGGTCTTTGTTTTGCGCTACGTGGTCTAGAATTGCTAAACATTGAGTTCAACAATTTGACGTCATCCATCAATTTTCAACAGTTTTTTTTGCTATAACGTGGCCAAAAAAGAAAATATCGATCTAATATATGGTATGTATATAGAAGAGTGCAGGGACTATCACATATATTCCGTTTTTGAATTCGGAAAACAATTCTGGGATTTTTTTTTGCGTTTTTTTTTTCTTTAAAAAATCAGCTTTCTGATTTTTTAGGGGTCAGAACCAAAAAAATTCTGAAAATCCGAGATAACAGTTTGGTAGCGCCGCCTTTTGTCTACATGACCATATAAAGAACTTTGAAATTGGCTAGTAACTGTAGCTTTTGTGAGCGTTTCAAGATTTCATGTTTTTTTTTTTGCTCATTTTTGTTCGATCATGACCTCAGTTTGACTTCAATAACTCTTGACCTAAGGTGACCTAAGACTTGAAATTTTGTGTGTGAAGGTGTCAAACTGATGCCCGGGAAGGTACTGAAAATTTTCTTGCTATTCAGGAAAAACCACAGGGGGGCCGAATTGACCCCCCCCCCCCCCCCAGCGGGGCGAGAGTTAATCTTTATCAAAGGTTTAGCAGTAACAATGCATGCAATCCCTAAAAATGTCAAAAATATGCTATCGGCATCTTACGTCCGATTTTTGAAGGGGGACGGATCGGCCGACTAAAATCCCAAGAGTAGGTAGTGTTACCCAGGGGCGTCGCCACGGATTTTTGAGTGGCCGAGGGGAGGGTCGAATCTCTGGTCTTCGCTCTGGTGGGTAGGGGTGTTTTTGACCACACTCCCCAGGTCACACGAAACAGCAGCCCCAAGACCATATCAGAACTCAAGAGGGTCGCGACGTCAGCAGTGCGCCTAATTGGCACGAGACCTGCCCTGCCGCGCTGGTGTTTACACGGCAACGCATCAAGCTGTGGTTTTGGCGAAAAAGTGCCATCGGTAGGTAATTCGTCCTCTGTGTCTGCAAGTGAGCAACCACCCCGGAACAGACGCTATCACATAAAATGACATTGAGCATTCTATATGATAGCCATTGATCCGTTTTCCTCCTTTCATCCGTCATCCGTGTTTGCATTACACTGTCTCTAAATTCAACTGTTTATTTAAGAGCTCCCGGCCAAAAAGTAATACAGGCGACTGTGAAGTCCTACGCAAGATGTTGAGAATTGGTCATTTGGGTCATGACATGACCTGAAAAACAAGATAATACTGAAAAACACGCGTGCCGCCTAGCCGCCCTCTGAAGTGTGTGCAATGCATCATTATTTTAAAACGTGACGGTCGAAACAATCACTGATAGATTGTTTCAAGTGTTTCGTCGTCTGCTGCTTCTTACAAAGACATATGTATGACGGATTTGCTAACTGCTAATCTAATAAGTAAATCAGCATACGCAGGCAAAACACTTCTTCCCGGCTCCTACCATCAAATACCATTTCTAACGTCTTCTTGAAAATATATTCAATTTGTAAAAACTCGCAAAAAAAAATCAAGAAGAATCTTTCGAGCTGATCCAAGGGCGGATCCAGGGTCAGCTGAAAGGGGGGGGCCAAATGCCCATTAGGTTTTTCGCTAGGATAGGGCCCGCGGAACCTAACCTACCCCCAAATCCTATTTTCTCCCCGGATTTCGGCCACTTCATTTTGTAAAGCTGCCAAAAATAAATTTCTTTTTAAAAAAATCACGTATCACTGACCGTCAAGGCCGGGGGCGGGAGGGAGGACCAACCTGGCTGCGCCCGTGCAAACACCAATCTGTGACATCATCCTAGGTTCTGCCCAACCGAACATCAAGTAGCGCCTTTTTTAACCCACGCCGGGGCTGCAGGGAGGTGTTCGGACACCCCATTGCGGTCTTTTGCGGATATCTTTTAGATATCCGCAAATGCATGTATCGGATATCCGCAAATGTCAATGCATCTTTTCCGCACATGTCATGAACATTTCAGACCCAGGTCGCTAAAGGTATAGTCACTACGTCACTTCAAGAAACCTCACCTCAGAAAAAACGTAAATGTTCGTCATAGCTACACCGACTGAATGATTGCCTTGAAACTTTCAGCGGCTGGTACGAGTAGCAGTATGTACCTATAAAATGTTTATCTCGGTGTTTTGATATCGGTGACTTACGGTCAGGTCAATTTTGCGCCCTCTCCTTTTTGAGTAAATAGGAGAAAATCGAAAGGCGGCTCTTTTGGACGAACGTCATTCCAAACACTCAAACATCGGGTAACAATTAAAATAGACAGCTAAATCGAAAAATTGCAACCATGACCCCTCCATTTCCCTGGGGTCATCTTAGATCATCAAAGGCCCCCAGCAGTTTTTGACAATAACTTTTTATGGAGACATGCTAGAGGAATGAAAACACATTCGATGTGCTCAGGTCGACAATACGGATCTACTGATAAGCAAAATGACCTTTTCCGATCAGGTCACTACCTTGACCTAAGGTTAAATTTTCAAAATACCTTATAAGTCCAAATTATAGTTCATTCGAGCCATCTCGACGAGAGATCTCGACGTTTCTTGAGTCAAAAGTGATTAAAAAAAAAACATTGTTCGTAAAAGCAGCTATTTTCAATTTTTGCCTCTGGCGGCTAAACCGTTGACCTGAGGTCAAATCTGAGCACTGTCTTTAGAAAAAGCGTTGAAAGGGCTATCGAATGCGTTTCTCTGCGGCGCTGCAGCAGCTCTATTGGTTCTTGAGTTATGCGCCGGAGTTTCGAAATGTGTTGACATACATAGGCAAGATTTTTCTTTTGATGTTCTCTGGTGACCAGACCTTTGACCAGACTTAAAAAGTGACTGCTTTCGTCTTGATTTTCGAAGGTCTTTCGAATGCCGCTTGCCGCGTGTCGCTACGTGGCCCAGGAGCCGAGTTAGAAGGAGAGGGGGTGTTCAGACACCCACCGGCCCGGAGCGGTTGGCACCGAGGACCGGCCTGGCGCGGGTTAAGGAGAGAGGTTAATGCGTGACTATTTCCGCTGGATCAAAGCCGATTGAAGGGAAACTGCAAGGTGGTTTTATGCAGGGTCCGGCAAAAGTTTTGTCCTCTACCTAGGGCAACACTTATCCGGTTTCTAATCGTTTCTACCCCTAAGGGATAAATATTTTGGAAAAAGATTTTGGGAAAGATTGCACGGTCCAATAGCCTCCAGCGGCTCAGTTCTGCAGAGTCGACGCATGGCCTCGACGGTCGATGGAAGGTCAACATGCATTTTCATGGAGGACGGCGCGCCAGCTCATTGCTCTACCAAGGTCCAGGTGGTTGTGTCAATCGAGTCTGCCGGAGTTCTGAAGAAATAACCGGCCACCATCCGGACCCTAATCCTGAGCGAGGATTATCTTTGGGCTACCTTCCAGCAGGACATAGACAAATGGAATTCGGCGGCCAACCTCGGCGCCTTGCAGTTACAGCCAAACGGGCGTAGTCGAAAATCAAGCAGTCTGTGCAGTGTGCTGCATAAGCTGGTTGCCAGCACGCCAAAAAATGTTCGTGCGTAAATCCCTGTTCATTACGAGCGAGCGAGCGCAGCGAGCGAAGCGAGTCTTTTCAATATAACGGAAAAATCTCAGTATGAGCGGCCCGGCCCGGCCCGGCCCGGCCTGTAACGCTTTTGAGAGGCTTATATCTCAGCAACCGCTGGACCGATTGGCCTGCGGTCTTTTTTGCTGGGTAGCCCCATCCCTTCTACCCCGTAATTGACTACTTTTGATACACCTCAGTGACCGTCGTGGCACGTGCCACGTGAAAAGTCAAGGGTGTTCAAGCTGCTTTGCAAAAGTAGTGATTTTGAGAGGCTCATATCTCAGCAGCCGCTTGGGCGATTGACTTGCGGTAATTTTTGTAGGGTAGCAGCATCCCTTCTACCAAAAATAGGATACTCTCGATGCATGTGGGTCACCCCCAGTGCACGTGCAAAATACAACAATAAGAGGTGTCAAATTTGTTCCCATTTTAATAACTCGGTAATTACTGGGGCGATTTCGCTGAAACTTGGCATACAGGTAGGCACCCACCAGGCAATGCATTTCCATGTGTTGCGGTTAAGGTGCTACTGCACGTGCGCACGTGCAGGGGGCGCTTCCAGATCTCGAGAACGGCTGGGCCGATTGCGCTCAAATTTGGTACACGGTTGGGGACCAGTTAGTAGGGTGCCGTGCAAAAGTCAGTTTGGACCCCGTTTGCACGTGCGCACGTGCAGAATGCCGCTTCCAGATCTCAGGAACGGCTGGGCCGATTGCGTTCAAATTTGGTACACCGCTAGCGACCGGTTAGAAGGGTGCTTTGCGCAAGCCCGTTGGAAGTACCCTCTCGCTCTTCCGCACGTGCAGGGCTCACTATCACGCTCGCTCGTTCTTCGCCCAAAAGGCGTTTTACTGGTATTAATAACAAAGAAGTTAATGTTCGGCCTTAGCGTCGATGGAAATGGTGAAAATAATTCTGAAAAATTAGCCGGCTGTGAGAAACAGCACGGATGAAAGGGGGCCAAAAGATATGTTGCCCCCCCCCCTTTCAGAGCCAAAGGGGAGGGGCCATGGCCCCTTTGGCCCCCCCCCCCCCTGGATCCGCCCTTGGGCTGATCTAACGCCAATGAATGTGATCATGTGAAACGAGTTCTGGTATAATCAATACAATAGATATAGCAGGTACTATAATATATTTGACGGTATGACACTAAAAACAGACAACGGAGACTGTACATTGACACCAATCATTAGCAACTTCGCCAGTGATACGGAAATCCCTGACCAATCAGCTGACCCGATAAATCCGTCAGCGGCCGCGACCAATCAGCATCGAGCTGGTTAATCCTCCTGGAGCCACTGACCAATCAGGTCGCCGATCTGCTGACGCGCTGCCACCAGCTCCGGGGAGTCTTCGGCACGAGCCGGGTACATGTTGGCGCAATGGGCCGTTCCTGGAAGACGGGGGGGAGGGGGCGTGAGGTCCAGGGAAGGGACGAGATTGAAAGGAGGGAGTACAGGGTGACGCAATGAGCAGAAACTTGACGAAAACGGGGTACCAGAAAACGGTGAAGAAGGAACAGGAAAAATACATTTTGACACAAAGCCTTCCTTGGGAAAGAAAGGCTTTGTCTCGGAGGTCTCGGAGTGGATGATCCACTCAGAGACCTGAAGGGGGGGGGGGGGGGAAGGAGGTGTGGCTGTAGCCCACCATGCATCTACCAGCCGTTGATCGCCTTCTCAGTGAGATATTCCATTCGAGGGACCACTCACTCACCGTTGATGTAGACGGCCGGCAGGGCGGGGTCGCTGCTGACAATCACTCCCATGGCGTGCCACGGGTCAATGCTGCCGTTCACCAGCACCACACGACTGGTGGCCAGGTCACGGCCGCCGTATTTGGCGTTGGTGGCAGCCACCGCGGCATCAACGAAACTCTGGTCGTACCTGAGGCAGACAGAGGGAGGTCTCCAGAGGTCAGGAGGGTTGAGGGGGAGAGAGGAAAGAAAGGGAGGGAGAAAAACTCGTATCGATTAGCTATCCCGTGCAGGCGCGCACCGACGGGGTGGATATTCGCCCCTCCCTGAGGTTTTTCGTGAATAGCGAAAAACCCGTGGCGCGTAGCGCCGCAAAATTTGATATTGTTGCTTTATTGATTTCACACATTATGTGGAAGTTATAACCTCCTGCCTAAAAAGTCAGCTCACCAGGCCACTTCGAATGACCTGCCCTCAACTCACAAAGTCACAGGGTGTAAAAAGGTAATAGATATCTTTAAATATCTCCAAATTTTTATATCGATGGCCTAAGGTCAGGTCAATTTCTACAGAATTGACAGAATTGAATTTCTGTACACCTCCCGATTACAAGGCAATGGGGGAAAAATCAACTACACTATCTTCTCACTGAAACGAGACGTAATGACCAACTATACCATGAATGACATCATTCATGACCAGACTTTACTATATTTACATATGTCCTGTTTGCTATTTGACAGCTGTAAGGTCACGTGACGTCATCGAAGTTGAACAAATGTTTTTTGCTTATAACTCCTTATACAAAAGAGGTGCAGTCGCGCGAATGGTTAGCTCATCAAGACACACCGAATGTTATGCATAATGATCTCGAGGCTGCGTGGCCTGAGGTCAACTTTTGACCTTGACCTTTTAAGGTCAACACGGGCATTTTTGATGCAGATTGACAAGTGCGATCACGATGGTACTATTAGCTTAGCCCTAGCTTGATTACTTCAAAAGCTATTCTCGAAAAAGACTCATAGGTATGACCTTCCGTGCCGCTATTTTGACTATTTGACCCCTGTGACGTCATTTTTACCTGACCTGAAAATGACCTTAGTAATCATTGCAGCCATGTCCTCCTGTATCCAATGCCGTTTACCGCTTGTCGCTAGCTTTCTCCATTTTCGTAATCTTTGGGGGGTCGGTTTTCCGCCACCCCCGTCGGTGTGAAGTTGACGCAGACCCCCGCCGCTGCGCGGCTTAAAAACTCATCAAAGAACCCCCTTACCAAAGAAAGTCATTGGGCGATCGATGCAATTGCATATGGTATATGGCCTCAACCCTTCTCCGTAAATATGCATGGGCGAGGGAAGACTTTTAGGTTAAGTAACACATAAATTGAGAGAATATAAAGTGTCATCTGACGAACATGAATTAGTTGATTGTTGAGATTCCAAGCTCCTGTACACTGTACACTGTACAGTGAAGTCAAATTCCACGATGAGTGATGACGCTATATAAAATACCGCTGCTGCGGTTTGACGTATCAAGTAGACATACAATTTCCTCAGCACACATTCAAAGATAAGCTATCTGCTCGCCAGTTCTGAACTTTTCCACCGTTTCCGGAGTCCCGCCCAGCTGCGCGGCTCCCACGGGGTGTAGTTAGACTAGGTGAACCTTCTGACATTACATAGCCCCATTTTGCGATACTCAGCAGTCAATCGTCCCGTCCTAGCATAGATGCTCAGTAGAATGCCGTAATGTACACTACCTACTCGGCACCCCGCGTATGTGCTTATAGTTATGACATCCGCACTAAATCACTCACTCCTCAACACATCATATTCACCACCCTCAGTCGTGCCGAAAAAAAACTCGGCACCAGTCAGTTAACATCCCGCCCTTGCATTGCTCGTCGCCCCACCCTGTCATACGCGACACCCAGACCTATCATACCCACCACCCTATTCCCTCATACCCTCCATACATTCACACATACTCGGGTCCGTAGGCGTCGATGCACTGTTGGATGTAGTACGAGAGAGGAATGTGCTGTCCGAATGGCTGTTCGGCGCCCTCAGCGGTCTGGTACCAGCCAAATTCGGTACACGTCTGCCAGATCCAGGTTCGGGCTGCGGGCGAACGGGGAGGGGTAGAGGTCAGGGGTTGAGGGTCAGGGGTCGGGAGAAATGGGGTCAGGGGTCGAGGGAAAGTGTTGGAGGCTATCAAGTCCAGCCTCGCTCGATTGAAGCATTCGAGTTGAGCAGTTAGGTAAACGTTTTTAAGAATCATCTCTCCATTGCTGCATGCAGCAATTCAACAATCCATCAAACAACATCAACCATTAAAAGGCAGTTACTTCCGATCCTGAGAAGTTTAACAGTTGAAACACATCAATTCCAGCTCCCAGTCTTCTATAAAACACACTCACTGGCATCGTTATTCTCGCTGGCGAAGTCGAGGTCCGTCATTTTGTCGATGAGTGACTGATAGCGGTGCTCGACGCACGTCTCCTCGTGCACGGTCATGATGAGGTCATTCAGAGCCGCCAGCCGCTCGATCGGGACACCCATAGACTCGTCGTTCATCAGCTGGAGGTCAGAGGTCAAACAACGTCAGAGCTTGCACGGTCGGATCGCATACAGGTTTATAATTATAAAGTCAACTTGTACAAAGTCAGGTCATACACGTCAGCCACTGCGATGTCAATTCGTACAACGCCTAATCCTGTACTGCAAAATAAGATCACAAGATGAGTGAAAACGTCATATTTCTGACAACGCTGGGGGATGAAGTGGCAAAAGGCTAAATGATAATGAGATAATAGGTAACTATAGTAGGTGACCAGTATCCTAACTGCTAGATCACAAAATGACCAAGTGCGTTGGGTACTAAGACCTACGGTAGACGCGGTGTTACCGTCGGGCGAGTTCGCTGACCTCACACACGCTGCCGATGGTGATGTTGGCGTCCTTGTGGCCGCTGAAGGCGCGGTTGTCCTCGTTATACTGGACCACCGACTCGATCCTGTCCGCCAGGATCTGCATCAGGTTGTTACCGTCCAGCGAGCTGGTGCCGTCGAACGCGGCACACAGCTGGAACGCGCTAGTGAGCGAGCGCCAGCCGATGGGGTGCTCCAGCAGCTGCTCAGCGTCAGCGAACGCCTGCTGCACGCTCATGTAGCACTGCTCGCCCGACTTGGCGTAGATGGAGTCCTTGACCACCTGCTTGTACTCTGCGGAACAAGGCAATGGAGGGTCAGAGGCAGGGGTCGATTGAACCATTGTGTCCCATGTAGAACATCATGGGACATATCACGTGGTCATTATCTGTGTTAGTATGAGTTAACTTCTTTGGATAAATTACAGAGACCTTTCAAACAATGCAAACGATCTAATGCGTGCATAGGAATGTACGTACTTGGTAGCTCTAGTTGCAACTTGCAAGGCCCAACCATTTTGCCAGAATTTTAACCGAGTAGCATATTGCCTCAGCATTCTTCTAAAAGGTTTCAGCATTGCGGCAGGAAAATATTCTATCCTCGTCCCATGTGAAACAACTAACGGGCAGCACTTCTATAAGTCACACGACGAAGCCACACCTGAACCACCCCATTAGATGGTATCGTATACACCAACGCGGTGCACATTATGCGTCCATTACCACACCGGCCGGCACTCACCCAGGAAGTCTGTTTTGGCGAGCAGCGGGGCGCTGGTGGACACTGCCGCGTGTACCATGTCCGGGTACTTGAGCCTGTACCAGGCGGCCAGGGTGCCCGGGTACGAGCCGCCGAACGCCACCCACTTGGTGCCCTCGGGCAGCGTGTACTGCTCCGTCATGGCGGCGGAGAAGGAGGCCAGATCGGCCAGCGCCTGCTCCGAGCTCAGGTACTGCAGGTTCTCCACGCTCATGTCACTGCAGGAGACGGGGTTTGGGTGAGAGAGGGTGGTGTCACTGATATCGGAATAGCATACACCAGTGAAAAAGCTAAAACGACACATTAAAGTTTAATTTCGATTGCGTACAAGACTTCTTAAATTAAAGTTAGGATAATATCGTTCAAAATCAAGAGTGCGTCACGACTCTCTCTCTCTCTCTCTCTCTCTCTCTCTCTCTCTCTCTCTCTCTCTCTCTCTCTCTCTCTCTCTCCCCCTTCCCCTCCCACTCACGCGGTGGGTCGGCTCTCGCCGTAGAAGCGGTGCTCCAGCTGGAAGCAGAGGGCGCCGTACTGCTGGGCGTACTCGATCCACTGGCCAGCCACAACCCAGATGGCCGTGGCGGGACCCTCTCCCCCGATCATGAGAAACACGGGGCCGCCCGGCTGATAGAACGTGTCGTTCACCTGGTAACGCTGCCGAATGGGATGGATACGTGAGTCATGGGCCATGAAGGGTCGGAATAATTCTAATGCTACATGAAAACTGCATTATCGAAAAATAGTACGGTTATGTCGATTAGAACTATCGAGGAAGATGGCTGAATGATGTAGACGTCAGTGTTGATGTAAGAAAACCGGTAGCGGAAAAGAAGCTAAATGTGAGTTGAGCCAGCGAGCTAAAGCATCTTGATTGGATCTTGCGATATTCAATCTGCATTTTTAACCCTCGCCCCGCTAGGGGGGGGGGCAATTGGCCCCGCTGTGGTTTTCCAGGATAGCAAGAAAACGGCGGCGTGCAGCGCTGCCAAATTTTCAGCACTTTCCTGGATATCAATTTGACACCTTCGCACAAAATTTCAAGTCTTAACCCTCGCCGGCACAGGGGGCGGGGGTTGATGCAACCCCCCTAAGGTTTTTCCCGAATAACTCGCGTAAAAAGCGGCCGATCGCGACGAAACTTGCAGTACTCTCGCATTGATCCATTTTACATCTACCCTAAAAATTTCATGACCCTAACCCGAATGACCTTTGACCTGTGACCTCTTTTCCGAGACCATGTTTGGCCGGAATCGCGATTCGGCGTATGTCGGCTCGCATTAGCCGCGCGTTTGCAAGCTTTTCGTGGTTTCAAACGTTCAAACATGTGATTTGATGTTGCTCCCATACATTAGAGTGGGTGTCAAGGTCACCTGAAGGTCAGGTCAGGTCAATGACCTTTGGTGACATCGGTTCACTTTTTCGAGTTTTACATGTTTCAAGGCTAGTTTTTTGAGCTGAATTCGAATTTAGCAACAATTTGAACATTTACGAAGTAGTTTTGGTGCCTTCGTAACATGTAGCGAAGCTGTGAGAGGCGGTTGACACGTATTACGAATACCCGTCACGACCCCTACCGGTTGACCTGACCTGACCTGACCCGACCTGGTCTGAATGCTTAAAGACATCATCTCTGATCAAAACTAACTCGATATTCGTGATCAGCACCCCGGAAAACCCCATAGCATCCACGCTTGTCGACTTTCTAACAGGTCCCAATTTTCCCGGTTTTCGGGTCATTGACCTGACCTGGAAGGTCACCCGATGACCTAGGACCTTACTATTGGGTATCATCGGCTTCCTCTCGTGACGGGCAACACGCTCGTTTTTTCCGCGAAGCTCTAGCTCGATCAGGGGCCAAACGCGAGGGGGGGTCGTACCCTTGTGCCGTCGAAGGACGCAAAATGGCCTGTGCCGGCGAGGGTTAACCCGCGCATGACTGGGGTATAATTTATAACGCGTGTGACTGGGGGGGGGGGGCTCTCCAGAGCCCCCCCTCCTATCTCCGAAACTACTGGGCCGATCGTCAAAATTCAAACGGCGTCTGATAGCCCTGGAAAAACTGTCGAGCGAAACCTATTTTCATTGACCTCGAGGTCACCGATGACGTCACAGGTCAGGTCAAAGTAAAAATTATCGACATTTTTGCTAGTTCACAATTTAGGCTCTGACCACCGGACAGCCGGTCCGATCAGGCTCATTTTTGGTGTACGCACTCCTTGAAGGATGCCTTAGATACCCTGAGGGTACCTAACTTTTACTTCGAATTTTTAAGGTCAAGGCCAGGTCATCCTAGGTCACGAAAATTGTATATCATGTATCGGTCACGTGACGCATGTTTTATGGTCCATTTTACTCGTAGATTTCGAAAATAGTGTCGTCTGTGTCATTTGAGGTCATTGTCAGCTGAATTTACCGGAGGTCAGGTCACTTTCAGGTCAGAAAAGGTCAAATTTTGAAAATGAAAATTTTCAACAAAAAGGCGCCTATCAGATGCAGTTTGAGCTCAGGAACACGATGGTGCCATTTATATTGCTGTACGGCGTCAAAAACGTACTAAAAAATGGATTTGAAAAAAACATAAAATTGTAAAATTTTGACAATAATGCGAATAACTTGGCTATTTTTGAAGATATTGGGCTAAAACTTGCAAATGTAGTTCATCAGTGTGTTTTCTATCACATATATTCCGGTTTTTGCGAAAAGTCAGAAACTTTTTGAAAAAAAAATAAAAAATATACTTTTTGTAATTGTAAATACATATTTTTCAAAATTTTCAAAATATCGAAAATTCGAGATTGCAGTTTGATAGCTACGTGTATTTGTAGTCCATTCATGCAAAGAAAATGGATCTAGCTTTAAAACTGAGCTCTTGAGAGCGTTTGCCGTAATTCAGTATTTTGCATGAAAGTCGGCCGACATGACGTCACTCTGACGTCATTTCCGGTCCAACTATGGTAGCTAGAAAGTTGAAATTTTGACACAAGGTGTCAAATTGATGCCTTCAAAGGTACCGCAAGTTTCGTGTTGATCCGTCAAACGGTTTAGAAGATATTGCTAAAAACGGGAGGGGGGGGGGGGCTCTGTAGAGCCCCCCCCCCCAGTCATGCGCGGGTTAAGTCACCATAGGTCAGGAGTTATTGAGGTCACACTGAGGTCATGCTCGAGCAAAAATGAGCAAAAAACATGAAAACTTGAAACGCTCACCAAATCTACAGTTACCAAGCAATTTCTAAGTTTTTTTATATGGTCATGTAGAGAAAAGGCGGCGCTACAAAACTGTGATCTCGGATTTTCAAAATTTTGGGATTTTGACCCTAAAAAATCAAAACAATCCCAAATTCTTCCGAAATTCTATATACCTACCAAATTTTAGATCGACACCTCCTTTTTTGGCCAAGTTATAGCGAAAAACTGTTCAAAATTGATGACGTCAAATTTTTTAACTCAATTTTTTAGCAATTCTAGACCACGTAGCGCAAAACAAAGACCTCCATTGAACTCCCTGTGACGACCTGCATCGAATTGATACCCATTTTATGCAAAAATGTCAACTTTGAAATTTGACCTAATTTGACCTGACCTTGACCTGACCTTGACCTGACCTTGACCTGACCTTGACCTGACCTTCACCAGAACATAATCTAAACTGACCCCAAAGGCTGCCTAACCCACATAATCGCATTTGGCATATAAAATGGACCATAAAAAATGCATCACATTATATTTTTAATGTTGTGACCCTCAGTGACCTCTGTGACCTGACCTGGTAGGTATCAGTGACCGCAAATAGCAAAATATGTGTTTGACGATCATTTCCCCATCGGTGATTTTCAATGAAATGCATTTTACTCGATTTTACAACGCATTTCTTGAAATGCCTGTAAACGGTGAAAATTCGACATTTGACCTGACCTGTGATGTCATCGCTTTGACCTAGGTCAATGAAATTGGGTCACAAGGTAGTTCCTTGTTGGGGCTATCCAACACCGTTTGCCGCTTGTCGCTATGTTGCGTGCAGTTCTCGAGATCTTAGGGGGGGCCAAATTGCCCCCCCCCCCCAGCAGGTCGCGCTGCTTGGCAGACCCCAACGGGGAGCGGGTTAAACGAACCTTAGAGAACTTGTAGGTATAATGGGGTAGCGAAACCTTTGCTTTATAATGGCTTGGGAAGCATGGAACATAACATTTTGCACACTCGCCGTAGCCTTGGTATGTCCAGCTCTTAACTCTCATTTGTTTCAAATAAATTCACCGTTTGTAGATTAACCATTATATCGTAAATGTAATTCCCTTACGGAATCAGTCCAGCATTATTTCTTGTCTACTTCACAGTACACAAAAAAAAGAGAAGAGCTGGAAGCATCGCTAAGATATCTAATAACAATTACCATACATGCAAGCTTAACTCAAAAGATAAATTGAAATTTAAGCTTTATGTTCCTGGAAAAATAACAGCCTGTGTGTGGCTGTGGGCTGTGGCTGCTTCGGTGCTTCGGTAGAAACGTATATTAGGAAGCCAAGCGCTGTGAGTAATAGATGCGGGATACTGTATAGAAATATGAACTCTTAAAAGTAGGTTAAAAAGAAGCAAAATGATATTTTTGCGTCGTGATGAGATGAGTGACTCCGTTGACTGCTAGGGACTGATGATGTGTGATATGCATATGAAAGTTGTGAGATACCTATTAGCCGTTTTCACGACGGGCTTTCTGGCGACTGCACCTAATTTGACAAAACCTGTAGGTAAGTACCTTATTTCTTTACCAGCAAATATCTTTAAACTATGAAATCATTTTAATGTTTTAGTCGATGATAACGTCTGACAGTATGTCAAAGAAGGCATGTAAGCAATTAGCGTAACCCTAGCTAATAGCTACGAAGAAACACACTGAACCTTATTTGACCAGAGCTGCACCAAATCTGACCAAATGTGTACCAAATGTGTACCAGATGGCCATCGTGAAAAGGGCTATTGTGGACCAGTGTGAATGGTATACCTCGACATAAGCACGTAAGTGCTTTTGTTCTATGTATGCATGTATGTACATACTATACATGCGTCCGGATGTTCATTGTACAATATAACTATGATGATGACATAACGATCTCATCCACTGCAGTGACCTCAGGATATCGCCTCACCTGCAGCCAGGTGCGGTCGTCGCCCGGGTTGTTGTGGTCCAGTTTCTGCGTGAACCACTGGTCAGGCGGCAGGACCAGGTCGCCGGCGTGTGGCGGCGGCAGCAGCACCGGACGACCGGCCCAGGCCCCCGTCAGGGTCAGTAGGGTCACCAGAAGGGGCACCATGGCGGACAGATGCGCTCTGGGGACAGCCGAAAGGTGGTGGTTTTTAACTCCTCATTCATACGTTTTGTGGATGGTATGATATCATTGCTTCTTAGGCATTATTTACGATTATCCATAAGCCCAGCAGACAGCTACCTTGGTTCGACATATTCGTGCTTATATGATCTAAATCTTGAGTGTATGTGAGGAACTGAAGTACGAAAAGGTATCGATCATCTATAAATCATTATCTAGGAATTATTCCCCGATTAACAATTTGAACTAAATTACGGGAAAATTATTACGCATCAATCTTTTTTGTTGTCTCTTCAGATTAGCCACCTGCAATGAATATTTTCTTTTGTATCTTTAAGTGATCCTAGATATCTGGACTGCTTCAAAATGTCATCAGCTGTCTATAAAAAAGACGTCATTCCCTGGCAAGTTCTCTCTCTCTCTCTCTCTCTCTCTCTCTCTCTCTCTCTCTCTCTCTCTCTCTCTCTCTCTCTCTCTCTCTCTCTCTCTCTCTCTCTCTCTCTCAAATCTGCGCTGAGCTGAGAGGAGCAGTCATACTAACCTGAGCGACAGTAAAGAGGAGTCCCCCCTTCTGCAGGACGGGCTGTCGAGACAGGGAGTCGGTCGGGGGTCGCTCACGATGTGGCCGCCGCCGCCGGTCCGCCGGCGTCATCACATCTTCAGCTGGTGTCGATCCCACGGCTGACTGGGAGAGGGACACCTGTCACCGCCCTGTCCCACAGCCCGCGTCACCCACGTGGCTATCGGCCTGGATCCCTGAGATACGCAGGGACGTGTATGCCGGCATCGGTCCAGATCCACACGGACACATCTGCCGGCATCGGCCCAGATCCGCAGGGAAGCGTCTGCTGCAATCGGCCCAGATCCACACGGACGCGTCTGCCGCAATCGGCCCAGGTTCGCAGAACGGGTCCGCGAGAGCTGAATTCATGGCACGCTGGCTGGACGTGACGGCACGGTCGCACGGGTAAAAGCACGCGCAGGGCTTCGTGTCGGGCTTCGCGTCCCACTGGTTCACGTTGTGGCTGTGCGCCATTGGTCACTGGCAGTCTCATTAGTTTTTTCCGGCGGTAGACGGCCGGAGGCGAGGGGCGGGATATCAATCATGGGCCGTCTTGTGTCTCGGAGCTGTTAGATTAATGGCCGAGGACACTTACGGCATGGTGGGTGTCAACATCTTCCCAGGACCTTCCGATGTCTCCTTCCAGCCCTCCAGGTATCTGAAGCATATGAGACAGTATCTTCAGCTGAAACAGTGGATTATTACAATGTTGGAAAATATGCATGGTCACATATTGTGGCATTCTCAATGCAATTTAATTATTTGTAGTTAGGATTTTAAATGACCTTTTCCTCGATAATTAATTGGAAATTCAATAAAAAGTAAATATTATATTGTTTGGCAAATTTTCGAACAACAGTTCATTCTCAAGCCACATGAAACAATTGTTGTTTCATGTTGACACAATTGTTTCATGTGGCTTGAGAATGAACTGTTGTTCGAAAATTTGCCAAACAATATAATATTTACTTTTTATTGAATTTCCAATTAATTATCGAGGAAAAGGTCATTTAAAATCCTAACTACATATATCAAGATGTTCCTCGCTAGAGCACTGCATACTATTTCTTCAATTTAATTATCATGCCTATATCAGCCTAGTATAAAACGGATTTAAGCGCGCCTTGCCCTGATTTGTTCGTGGGAGGCACTGTGATTAATTCACGTCGCAGGTTTTTAGTTGAATGCAACTGTCATTTTAAAACAGGGTTTCTTTTACTACAAACAAATGTTTCGTGTCAAGGAAAACATCGAAAATTGAAAAGCTTCAGCACCGAAACATCATATAACCTTCATGTAGCAAGATCAAACACCATTTATAGTGTGTCTTTGAATTCTGCAGGGATGTAAAAATCACTTCAGTTTCTGCCCGTGCCAAGTGGCCACAATTTCAATAATCGGGCGTGTCTTTACAAGCTCTCGCCTTTATTGAGTTATGAACATTGCTACCGTTCCATGGAACCGGTTTTTACCGCTCGACACAGCCAGCCTTCACCGACAGATAAACCACCGCCTGTCGGAACAGATCCTTGTACGCGGCGGCACTATTGAGTGCCCGACTCCTGTGGCACTTTATTTTCACCAGCCATGACCGGGACCGGCAGTTTTCCAGCCATTTCTGCGAATTTTCCGAATCCTCCGACGGTGGTCTGGCCGGACAGACCGGGTGGCATGTCCTCGCAGGAAGTAGGTTAAGATGCCTAATTAAAGTCTCCCTTAATTTGAACCGTCACTGCCCACGCTTTATGGGTGCCACTGTATTACTGGATTGATTTTCGGAGACATCGTTCATTTTCCTATCAGAACTTATTCATTTCTTGCTCCAATATCCACAAATTTGTTTGTAGTGAGCATTTGGGCAAACCATTGCAAAAAAAAATGCGCTCATAGGGAGCTCGTTCCGATTAACGACCGCGAAGGGTCGCTATCATTTATGGGTTTCCCCATTGGAAAAATGGCGAAAAATGTTACGCTGGAAAACATGAAATAAGATACTTAACTATAATAACATATACGCAAATAACTTAATCACTGGAACAAGAGCATTTGGACAGCACGTTCATGTTTGTGAAAGCCATAGATAACATGAACTACCTACATGAACTAACAAGCTAATCACGTAATGCACCAAAGGCGAAAATAAGGCAAAAACCCATTTTTGGAGGTTAGCCCGTATTGCATTCGATGCCCGCGCTAGATTCGGCACCCCTGCAGTCTACCATGACTATTAGTATCACCCGCCACACATCGCAAGCTTCAGCAACCGCTCATTTTTCATTTTTTCTTCTCCCATTCATTTCCCTTCTTGAGCCATTTGCGACCATGTCGAGCGCGAATGGGAAATATGGGCTGTGACACGTGTTTAACCACCATGCAGTGCACAGTCAAGCGATTCGCTACCAGAAGGCTGCAATTAATTTGAAAATGATTGCCGATTCATAATAAAAAGGTGCATCATCTAACGTGCATCGCTAAGGCACCGACAACCGGAAAAGAATTGAGATTGCTATGCAATGTATTTTATATATATATATATATATATATATATATATATATATATATATATATATATATATATAAATTTAGTCCGAACCTTTTGATAGGAAGGATTCACAGGGACAGAGCAACCGCTAAGCGAAGCTTGTTGCGGTGACCCGGCCCTCTACCCTTCGATCGCGCAATTCTAGTTCTTTGGCAGAGTCCAAAGTTTAACCCTCGCCGGCACAGGGGGGGGGGGGTTGATGCAACCCCCCCCCCTACGGTTTTTCGCGAATAACTCGCGTAAAAAGCGGCCGATCGCGACGAAACTTTCAGCATCCTCGCATTGATCAGTTTTACAACTACCCTGAACATTTCATGACCCTGACCTAAATGACCTTTGACCTGTGACCTACTTTCCGAGACCATGTTTGGCCAGAATCGCGATTCGGCGTATGTCGGCTCGCATTAGCCGCGCGTTTGCAAGCTTTTCGTGGTTACAAACGTTCAAACATGTGATTTGATGTTGCTCCCATGCATTAGGGTAGATGTCAAGGTCACCTGAAGGTCAGGTCAAGTCATTGACCTTTGGTGACCTCGGTTCACTATCACTTTTTCGAGTTTTACATGTTTCTATGCTAGTTTTTGGAGCTGATTTCGAATTTAGCAACCATTTGAACATTTACAAAGTAGTTTTGGTGTCTTCGTAACATGTTACGAAGCTGTCAGAGGCGGTTGACACGTATTACGAATACCCGTCACGACCCCTACCGGTTGACCTGACCTGACCTGACCCGACCTGGTCTAAATGCTCAACCCGGCAGGCGGTGGGCCTCCCGGCCACCTTCCGCGCGGTGGGGGGGGGGGGCATTTTTTGCCCCCCCCCCCCGTATCTCCGAAACTACTGGACGGATCCGGAAAATTCAAACGGCATTCGATAGCCCTGTCAAATTTGTCGAACGAAACCAAATTTTATTGACCTCGGGGTCACCGATGACGTCACAGGTCAGGTCAAAGATAAAATGTTTTACCGTTCACGGGTCTTCTAGGGAAAGCGCTATAACACCGAGTAAAACGCATTTTGTCGAAAATCAGCGATAGGGCATCAGTTGTCTAGTACATATTTTGCTATTAGAGGTCACTGGTCATACCAGGTCAGGTCACAGGTCAGGTCACCAAGGGTCACCCACCACATGAACCCAACTTTACTAAGGTTGCGCGATGCATGATTTATGGCCAATTTTTCATTTCCAACTCAATGGTGTTGGTTATAAGACCATCAGGTACGGTTTAGGTCACTTTCTGGTGGAGTTCAGGTCAAGGTCAGGTCAAAAAAGGTCAAATTTCAAAGTTGATAGTTTTGCATAAAATGGGCATTGATTCGATGCAGCTCGTCACGGGGAGTCTAATGGTGGCCTTTGTTTTGCGCTACGAGGTGTAGAATGGCCAAAAATTTAGTTTGAAAATTTGACGTCATCAATTTTAAACAGTTTTTTCGCTATAACTTGGCCAAAATAGAGGTATCGATCTCAAATTTAGTATGTAGATAGAAGGCGGTAGGGACTATCACATACCTATATTCCGTTTTTTTTTCGAAATTCAAAAAACTTTTTGGATTTTTTGGCTATTATATTCAAAAAATATTTTTTTTATTTTTGGGGGTCAAAATCCAAAAAATTTACAAATCCGAGATAGCAGTTTTGTAGCCCTTTTGATTCTACACCTTTTATTTCGAAACATTTTTTCTGTATCTCTAAAGCTGTAGGCCTGACAGCTCTTCCCGCGAAACTTTTTTTTTTTTGGTCGAAAATGGCAGAAATGACGTCACTCTGACGTCATTAGCGGCCAACCTATCATAGCCTTTGGGAAAAAAATTGTCACCATGTGCGCTAGCTACTCCTGGGAGGGTACTGAAAGTTTGGTGACGATCGGCGCAGCGGTTCTGGAGATATATTGAAAAAAAACCTAAGGGGGGGGGGGCAAAAAATGCCCCCCCCCCCCCACCACCTGGAAGGTTAAAGACATCATCTCTGATCAGAACTAACACGATATTCGTGATCAGCACCCCGGAAAACCCCATGGCAGCCACACTTTACGACTTTCTAACAGGTCCCGATTTTCCCGATTTTCGGGTCATTGACCTGACCTGGAAAGTTGGGGTTGCACCGTGCACGTGCAACCCCAACCTCATATAAAAATCCACCCCTGGGCCGGAGCACACGTCCCATAGCCACCCAGTCATCCATTTGGACAAAATTTTTAATAAAAAGTGATCTTTCAAGTGAAAGAAAAGCTTCTGATCGTCCTAGATTTATGGGTTGTGACTTGTGATTGTGGTAGGCAGACAACTGAAGCAGTGACAACTGAACCAGGGACAACTGAACCAGTGACAACTGAACCAGTGACAACTGAACCAGCGACAACTGAACCAGCGACAACTGAACCAGGGACAACTGAACCAGTGACAACTGAACCAGCGACAACTGAACCAGTGACAACTGAACCAGTGACAACTGAACCAGGGACAACTGAACCAGTGACAACTGAACCAGCGGACAACTGAACCAGCGGACAACTGAACCAGTAGACAACTGAACCAGTGACAACTGAACCAGTGACAACTGAACCAGTGACAACTGAACTAGTGACGACTGAACCAGTGACGACTGAACCAGTGACAACTGAACCAGTGACAACTGAACCGGCGGACAACTGAACCAGTGGACAACTGAACCAGTGGACAACTGAACCAGTGGACAGCTGAACCAGTGGACAACTGAACCAGAAACAACTAATGTCGTACTGCGCTATATAGGTATAAGGTAGCGCGTGGCTGAACGGACGGACTGTGCCAATCTGCCGGTCTGCCAATTGATCTGTGTCCGATCTATTAGAGTGTCCGTCCGAGAGCCGTACGACAGCTGACAGGGCTGACAGAGCCTGGTGGTCGTGAACTGGTGTGGTAACCGTGACGCCCTCCTGGGACGCCCGAATAGTTAGCAACGTATAAATAATATTCGCTTTGATGACCTAACTCGGGACAGACAGGGCACGCAACGTGGGCTTGGCAGAGTTCAGCCCGCCTGGGCCCAGAGGCCAATCTCCGGTATACAGGGTTGGGCAGATAAATTGGGACAAAATTTAACTTCCTCTAAAACGACTATTTTTTTAGTGATAAAG